TTCCTGCTATGTACTGTTGGGGAAGACCATCTGACTTCATTTCACTTTTCTTTAAACAAATTCATATTTCTGATTTGTTTCTTCATAGTTATGTCTAAACAAAAAAGCAGAAACTAGGGACCCTATGCACATATCAGTAACAGGCTAAATAAAATGTGTTTGCCTTGCAGTCTGGGGATAAGGGATAACTTTTCAGTGGCAGAACTGAAAATCTTTTCCCACCACTAAGGTATGAATACAATCCAGGAAGCTTTACACCTGGAAATAGCATGAATCATTTCTTTTTTTTCTCATTGGGACTTTTTAAAATATTGTGGTTATTCAGTCTACTCCATTACACTCAGGCTCAAACAGTATTGTGAAGGTTTATCAACCGTATTAAAAACTTTCATAAATTAGTTGTTGCTTTATTGTGCAATTTATTTAATGTACCTGCCTGCATCCTCATCTGTATGTGGCTGGAACTGCAATAGTCACAACACACAATCTTTCTTTAAAATCAGCACTTCAGGAATGAAATATTAGTATCCACTGCATTGTTTTCCGGGACTGTAGCCTGTGAAAGGACACCGATTGAAGAAATGAAGGCGACTGAAGAACTGAAGGCAGCCATAAAGTAGAGCTCTCCTTCAGTTCTTCAGGTCTATCATTACAATTGCTTTCCCCTTTTCTAGTAGGTGTTGTACAGTCTCCTACGAAAGGAATAACATACCGCAGATACAGCAACGTATTGCGTCCACTTTTAGAAAAGGGCATCTGCTAGGCGAGCTCACAAAGTCCACCTCTGGGTTGTGAATCTTCATGGATTTAAAGTGTTGCACAGATGGAGCACTGGTCTGGTTATCAGGCTTCAGCCTGAGCCACTGCAATCACGGGTCAGTTTTCTGCATTGCCAAAGCTGCCGAGACTTCAGGCAGCACTTCACCGCCTGCCGTAACAAACTCACTCGCTACATTTCCTGGGCAGTCGGAGATAGTGAGAGCTGTAATAGGAAAGGTCTGAATTTGCAGTAATATTAGTCACAAGTGCAGCCCACGCAAGGATGTAGATTTACAGGTGGCTACATGGGCCAGCATCCCCAGGGGGTAAAAGCAAGGTGCATCCCACAGGCTTTACACTGCCACCAGATTCACCTTTGGTGGATTAAGTGGATTAAGTACAGTCTCTACTGATTGCCCTGTTGTATTGAATATTGTATTTGAGTATTTGAATACTACCCAAGGACATGTCAGTAGTGAGGGCTCCACTTGCCCTCACTACTCCCTCATCCAACAAGCTTGCTAATGCTCATCATTACCCATATATATTTACAAGAATTTATACTCAGAAGACGCTCATTTTAAAGATTTTAATTCTAAAAGCAACACTAAAATATAGTAGATGGCTTAAAATTGCAGTAATGTCACAGATTGAATGTCTAACAGAGCATATGCTATCACATTCGTATTTGATAAAAGACCCTATGATATGACCTTTTCTAATAAAAACAAGGTAAAAACAAACTCACTGAAAGAATGTTGAAAAGTATATTGCACATTTTGCAACATTATAACACAGAAGAGATTTTCAAAACATCTAGATAACATTTGTGTAAAGGAAATAGTTGTTTTAAAGGTCATCACTGGGCTCTGGATAACTGAAAAGTTTATTTTGCTAAGATTACAAAAAGGTAACTATACTATACCTTGCACTAATACGACATGTAAAAATATAGAAAGGAATTTTTGGAGAAAATGTGAAATAAATTTTAAATTTTACTTCTTAAAAATTGAGATGGATTCTGTGTTGGGATTTAATGTGATAAGGTCAGGTATATGTGCCTGGCTGTTCCGGTCACATTCAAATGGCAGTTTTGCCATAGACTTTTGAGATAGAATGTCATCCAGAACGTTCTTCTTTCTTTTTTTTTTTTTTTTTGTTTGCTGATTTCAAAGAAGTCATCTATAATTAGGAAGGATTTAAGTTCTGCCTCTGTTAGGCATCTCTGAAAAGTCTAACTTTATTACTGTGCTTATTTTCCACAGAAGCTAAACTGCAGTGTGAATCTCTTATTACAATCCCAAAACGTACATTCAGCATTAAAAAAGGTGCTGACTATGTGGGAATGTGGACAACTAGTTAACTGCTTGTTTAAGCTGAACAAACTTGCACCAGCAAAAATTGCGTCTACATGTATGCTGTTGTACTCTTACCTCAGAGCGGGCAGAGACTGGAGGGTGAGGGAACAGAGCAAGGAGCAGTAAACGGAGCTGTATCCTATACAGTCCTTCCTTTTCACCTCCTTCCCCACTACACAGTCCAGATCATATTATGGTGGAGCTGCTGTGACTCTGTGTAGCCTTTCTTTCCCCATTTTGTATTACTAATTCTGCTAGACTGTTTGCTAATCAGTTTAACTGAACTAGCTAAGCTTCAAAAGTAGATTACCCCTGAAAAGTGCTTTGTTGCCATAAATAAAACCCTAAAAATTGTAGACAAGGTCCACCAGACATAAGGTTTGGCTTTAAGGGCAGTCAACACCAGCAGTGCTGCAGCACCACGCTCATCAACAGATTACTCCATTAGCAGTGACAGGTGTCTCTTTACAGGAAGTGCTTGCTCAGGAATGACCTTTTATAAACTGTCCTAAATTACACAGTGACTCAGAGGGCTCCCTAATTTCACAGTCAGACAGCTATCCAACAATACTAGGCCACAGCCACTTCTCTAGGCAAAGGCAAATCTGTAATATAAGCTAATGCTAAAAGCAGTATTTCAGAGAGGACCTGGAGCAGTCGAAGACTGCTGTGCAGCCACCAGAGTGGTTGTAATAATGCTCTGTCCTCTGTTTAACAACAGCATGCAATGTTTCTCATTTTTCTCCCATTTTCAGATCTCTACACGAAGAGGGCAAATATCATGATGCGTTGTACCTATGGATCTAACCCGGACTTTCTTCCCAGTTGCGACGCATAGACTGCAGCGATTCTGTGTTCCGGATGGTGGAGGTGAAATGAAGTCGGAGCACAAATTCTCGTCTTGGACTTGTGTCCGTTGTGGTTGCGCTGATTCCTCCTTCTCTTTCACCAGGCCTTCCTTTGTAACACAATACACATTTCTTTTTTTTCCCTTTCAAACTATGAACATCATCACGCCCACAGGGTCTGTCTCACCACTAAGTAACAGCACTACCCTGTTCTTCTCTTTCCAGTGGGAGCAGCTCATGTCCTGAAATGACCTGCCAGCTGGTTTGGAGGTAATGGAGGCTGCTTGCAGAGGCTTATCCAGGAAAGCAAATCAGCAGCTAACCCTGCCCTTGTCCCTTGTGATGTTGGAGTTCTTATGTATCATTCCCCAAGATGAATTTTGCTTTTTTGTGTTTTTGCAGCCACTGGTGGGAGAGATACCAGCGATCTGGAGAAAACAGTCTGGGCTACTATATCCACAAGGCCAAAGGGGCGTGCTATCTATTTTCTTACTTTCTGAAACTGTTTCATGACAGTGCACATCCACAAGGTGGTCTGACAGACTGAAAGCAGGGAGGACGCTGAAGCTGCTAAGTGGCTACGAAACAGTGCTTTAGAGAGGATCCCTGGGAAGGACACCAGGTATCAGACTGAATGAAGCTCTGTCAGGGTCTTGAAGAGCCGCAGGAGGGCGGGGGACTGCCTTCTGGGTGGCAGAGGCTTTCTTCCCTTCAAGCCAGTATGTTACCATGTCTCCTTTTCCCTAGGGAAGAAAATGAGTCATAGAGCTATAGTGCTACCAAACTTTTCTGCAATAATGTTATTACATCTCAGGGTGTGCCACAAAAGGAGGCCAATGCACCTGTTAGTCATTTTACAGATCGGGAAACTGAGGCACAAAACCTTGCCTTTAAAAGTCAGCGTGCAGCACTGTGGACTAAAGCTCAATTGTTCAAAGTCCCAACCAACGCTGGTCCAAGAGGATGTCACTCCTCTTATAGAACTATTATTATTTATGATGTTTCTTAATGAACTTTTCTGACTTCAGGCAGTTATGACAGACTGATTTGCCAAGCAGTACTTCCAGGTTTGGGTTAGTCCTCATCCTCTGAATTATCATAGTTATCTTTGAACAAGACCATGGAATTGGTCCTGATTTAAAAAGTGAGCCTCCTCTCTTCAGGAGCAGAAACTAGTCTAACTCAAGGCCTTTGAGAGGTGGAGGACTGAATGGGTTAAAATTCAGGCACTCCAGAGTACTTTCACACTCTCCTCTCTGAAAAGCTGAGTATAAATGTTGCATACACACCTTGACTTGTAAATTCCCACGGCACACTAGCACATACTCTCCGATCTGCTCCAACAACTGGTATGCACTTGAACTGCACTGTATTTTAAGAGCTGGAAAGAGAGAAAATCGTCATGTAATTGTGTCCATTTAACCATTTAAGAAAGACTCAGCAACCTCTCTGCTGCAGAGACTCCAGGACTTGCTAATGAACTTGCTTTTCTTCTTATCTTTGTTGGCATTCCCCTGATATCTGAAGTGATCACACACAAGTGCCAATATCCTGGGCCTCTTTGTGAGGGCGTCTCAGGACAGGACAAATACACAGCTGTCAACAAACAGTACTGTTCACATCCTGCATATGATATTATTTTTCTATTCTTTACAGCCAGCTGCCTGGCTGGAGCCTCTGACAGGAAACCCTTTCACTTAGCAGTGAAGAAATCCATACATAGTTCTGCTGCTGGTCAGTAAAGTGCCAGTGCTTTCTTCAAGTATACTCTTTTCCACAAAGAGCAAAAAAAAAGAAACTCCCATCCTTGCACTGCTTCCAAACCTGTAAATAAAAAGGGGAGAAGGGACAATATTATCATAGTTCCTCTATTTTTTTTTAGCAATGCAATTTTCCCTTAGCTGCATATGTGTCTTCATGTAAATCCTGGTTCTCTTGCATTTTGCAAATGAGAGAAGGAAGACAGAGGAGGAGGACAGATAGCAGGAGTCCTGGATACTCCTGCTTTTCCAGAAAACCAAATTTTGCCAAGGTTTGGAAATCTCCCATTTTGTCATGAATTTTTTGTGACAATGAATAAATCATTATATTTACCTGTTAGAAAAAGATCCAAGATGGTAGTAGACCTGGCTGGGAGTCTTCTACTGAATTTTTTGTTGTCGGAAAATGACATTTTTGTAAAATACAAAACTTTTTTGTTTAAATGTTTTTTATTGAAAGTCTCAAAACAATCCCTACAGACCAGGAAATGTATGTTGTAACATACCCAAATGCATATCTATGAAACATTCTTTCTAGCATCTATTTGCTATTTTAACTGTTCATCCTACTTTGGAACAAATGACTACTGCTCAACTTCCAGCTGAAAGAAATTTTTGTTTAAGTTGCTAGTCATGGTATTAATTGCCCTATTCCACAGTGATCTTCCAAGGGTTAAAGCATGTTAACACTGTTTGAGATCCTCAGATGTACGTGGCCAAGGAAAGAGGCAGAAAAGAAAAAACCTGGCTTAAAAGATAAGAAGGTCTGTCTTTGTACTTGAGTTTAAAGCGATCCCAAGCCATGTGAGAGAGGCAGAGACACAGAACAGAAGATGAATGTGAAGGATGATGGAAGCAGATTTTGCACATTTCAAACGAGATCACAAAGGGGCCTGCAAGGGAGAGGAGGAAGAGGGAAGGAGCCATCTGGGAGACTGACAGTAAGAAACAAAGTTGCACGTTTTACACAAGCTAGCATTTGTTTTGGAAAAAATCTTCATAATGCTGAGAAGGGATGGAACCTGCTTGAATCGCCTTCAAAAGCCATCATGTAGGACCACTCCCTTGCCCTCCTGCTTTGTTTTTAGTGTAATGTGATAGGTGACATCCAAGGTGACATGTTCAAGACTACTTTTTGTCATGAAATTACCACCAAAAATCCCTTGGGTTTTGCCAAACTTAAATTAATTTAGATAGCATTCTGATTTAAACCACGAAACTAGTCAGACTTATTTCATGAATGAGATAGATAAACAAAAACAAGTAATTAAGCCAGTTTGGCTTTCGATTACTTGCTCATCCACTTTTTGTTTTCAGTTCTGGTAGCTCAGACTAAGTATTTCAGAAGCTGAACTTCAAATGCTCATGCTGACTAAAGACAAAGCATGGTAACTAAACATGGAGCTCTGTTGTCCGCTGCAGAGAAGTGAAAGTGAGGATATAGCCGTGATTTGCTCTACAGAGATTTCTATCAACTCTCTTTCCTGGATGACAGGTTGACCCTTCCATACCTGCTAAAGGCAGACACGGCTCCCATGGAGGAACTGTGGAACCCACCTCTGGGTTCTCATTAGAGGAAGCTCTAAGTTAGAAATAGGAGCTGTGAATATATGCTTGCTATAAATTCAGCTGGGTGCCATGAAGGAAGAGTAACAGTGAATATACTTATTTAGCTTTCATTTTCTCTTTTCCAAAATCTGCTTGCTGCCTGGTCTTTTTACGGCAGAGAACTTCAAAGCCTTGGAAATCCCCCTCTGAGAACTGGGGAAGGAAGGGTTGCTGTTACAAAGCTTACAAAGGATCCCGTTTCTTCACAGAATAGGAGAACCCTAGGTTGACAAATGTGTGTGTGGATAGATAATGAGTAGGCAAATTGGACCCAGGAATCAACATCCTCCAAGCGTAAGGACTTACAGTCATTTAAACAGGTAAGGACTCAAAACACTGCATATTGCTCTTTCAAAGCTCGTTCAAGGATGGTCAAAACTGCACCTGCAGTTTGCTCCTTGTTACCTTCACTGGTGGATTCCCTCCTGGAAGCTGTGTTCACAGTGTCTCCAAACAAACAGTACCGTGGCATTTTGGTCCCCACAACTCCTGCTACAACTGCCCCTGTTAAAGGAAAGAAAGCAAGATATTCTGTGTTTTTAATTCAGGTACTTATCCATATAGCCTCCCAGCTGCTTCCTACATTACCCTTTATCTCACTTATTAACAAAACAAAGATTGAATGTCAGTATTATCTTAACCAGGTTATATTTCTGGTTTATAGTTGGCTTTCGGAGCCATGGAGGGAATCCCAGAAAGGCCTCAAAACAGGATGGTAGGAGAAAGGAGGATGGGTGGAGATACAGAGCATGAGTTAAAGCACATGCGGATACCATGTAGCAACAGCACAAAAAATATTGTGAGGGATGGGGAGGTAAGAATGCCCCCAATAGCAACTGTTCACACAACACCCACTAGTCCTGTGAAAAAGGAGACACAAGAAACATCCTGCTGCTGCAGAAGGCAGCCAGTGAACCTGTTCATCAAATATTAGTTTTGATTCCTTTGTGTCAGCCCCCAGGTTATTTAAAATGTAGACGCGTGGATCTCTTGCCGCTCAACTGGCAGATGCTGCGCTGCGCAGCACGTGTCCAAATCTGGCTGTTTAGTGGAGAGGGCTTGCAACCGGACTTCAGCTCAGCTCAGGGAGCTGGGCATCTGAGAGAGAGGGCTGAATCACTCAAGAAGCAGCTCACGGTTTTGAGTACAGAACAGCGAAAAGGACTAGTAACAGAGGCAGAACGGCCTTCCCTACTTGCGTCGGCAAAGGCATTCCTTCACATCCTGTGAAGTTAAGTGTGGCCTGCACTTCACCGAAGTGATTGGTGGGACTTGGTTTGCCGAAACACCTGTATCAGCAGGCTGTTGGGGTCTACTTTTATCCCAGGAACTACCTCTCTTCAATGACTGCCTTCTCATGGCATCACAAAGGGGAAGACGGGGCCACATCGTGTTTCCAGCATTGTATTCTGTGTTGTACTTCCAATATTCCACATTTCTAGTATTGTATTCTGTTGGTCTAACTCCTAGGAAGTGCTTCATCCTATGGCAGGAAATTCACTTAACTTTTAACAGAGAGGAAATGCCACTACAGAAACGCTAGTTAGACCGGAGGCAGGCTCTTCAGTAGCCCTGTCAACATACCTGAATGGATTCCCGCTCTTATCTTTAGGAGGGTGTTGGGCTTGTGTGGGATCTTGAAAGTCTTGCAGACAGCCACAAGGTCTAAAGCCATGCTTGCGATCTCACCGGCGTGGAGGATCCCATTCTCTCTGGGTACCCCCGACACTACCATATCTTAACACAACAATGCAACTGTGTTAGCCATTGGCATCAGCCATACTTTTGTTCTAGCATGCTGCCTAAGTTTTGGGGTTTTTTTTTTAGTTCTGTTCCTTCACATCATGAGGCACAGTTGTGCCTGTTGAGCACAAAGAACCAGAAACAAAAGAAGTGTAGAGCAATAGTTAGCGTGTGTTAGTTAATACCCTAGCTAGTATGGGTTAGCTAGTACCTAGTTAATACCTACTACCTACTTAATATGTGTTAGTTAATACTTTAGTTCTTACAAATGTTAGATTTCCTTCTTGCTTTTCCATAAGGCTATGTCCTCTGCTTCCCTCCAGGACAGACAGTGGCCAAGTAGCTTTTCCATACCTTTGTCTTTAGGTAGGTATTACAAAGAAAAACAGTGAATCCCACTAGGCCTTTTCCTATGCCTACTGGCACTGGCTGTTATGCGCAGGAGAAGAGATAGGTCTCTTTGGGAACCCCAGGATACAGTTCCTCAGGAATCCTATGCGGTAGCATATGTTCTACCATGCCAAGGAAAAAGGAGTGTTTTTTCTCTTCTGTAACATTTAAAGGATTTACATTCTATCATCTCATCCAAAGATCCCGCTAGATTCTGCTAGGTTTTGGGTGGAACTCAGTTTTAATAGAGGTCAATTCCCAGAATATTTCCCAGATGGCAAATAGTATGGTATTTTCCTAAAAATCACAAAAGAAGAGGCAGCCAAGCCCGTACAGAGCGTGAGGGGAAATAAAGCTGTTACAATCTTCTCAAAAAAGACATAGACAGCATAGCTTAGGGAACAGCACCTATCATCGCATGAAGGAGGTAACTTTTTCAGTTATCTCCTTGTGAAATAGAGGTTGCCAACTGGGATTAGACAAGAATAGCCAAGGTTTGAAGTCAGACCTTGCAAGTCATAGGAACCAAATAAAACAGTAGGGGCTGCCCTCTCAACCCATTTGTCCCATCCACAATATTCACCAATGGTAGAGATGATGAAGGATATTCAGGAAACAGTATCAAAAGTTTCCTAGGTCTTTGTTAGGACTTCCCTCTTCTCCGAATTGTGTTGTGTCGTCTTCCCAGTGATAATTCACTTTCCAAATTTCCTTCATATATTCTTCTTTGTCAGCAATCTCTATCCTGATGAAACACCTATGCATAATACCTTACTGTTCGCAGCTCAAGAAACTTACAAGCATCTCCTATTGTCTCCACCTTACAGACATCGTAGTTATCTATGATTTCATCAAAAGTGGTATAAAGCTTGTTTAGGAGATCTACCACTTGGTAAGGTGTGCTGCTGCTGGACAGCTCAGTGAAGCCAACAATGTCACTGTTAAGACAACACAACAAAAAGAACATATTCAAGTCTTAGTTTTTTTCCACTAAGCATAGCAGACTGATAATTCTAGGTGCACGATAATAATTTCTCAATGGAACTGTTGAGCCCAAACTTCATTTTTTTAGTATTTCTTTGGCTGAGGATCTTGCAGAACAGTTTTCTCTTTAAATATTTACTTAAACTGAAAAAAGACTCTTTCCATTTAAAAGGACTGACTGAACCATGCTTATCAAAGCAGTACACAATTTTTTACAGTTAGCCTTTAACCTGTTACAGGTTAAATAGTCTTCAGTTTTAGACTGTGTACAAATGAAAAAGGACCTTGTGTCTATCCATTTAGGAGGAGTGAAGAGTTGTAATTTATATGTTTTTTCATGTACACATTGCCACGCTAAAATTCCAAGACTGTGAAGGCATGTGAACCGTAAGGACGGGCATGCTCCCTTCACACAGCCGCGTCCTGGGACGTTTACTGAGGTCTATCTTACGAACCGTACGTGTGTGTCTGTATAACTCACACATAAAATGATGCATTGCTGTGTGTTAGAGCTCCACAACAGTCTCATTGTTTATTTAATTAATTTTAATGTAAGCACTGAGAATATGAGAATTTTTTAAAACACTCAAAAACTTGCCGAGTTAAATGTTTCTACCTGATACCAGCAATTGAAGTTCAGATAGAAATTCTGTACGCAGATAGGAGATTCACCTCAGCTAGGACCTTAAAAATTTCTTCAGTAAGAGTCAGTTCTACTCCCAGCTCTCATTTTAAATTACCTGAAAAAGATGGTGGTACTTAAGTAACTTTGAGCTTGTGCATGTTTTCCCTGCCTGAGATCATCTGCTACTTGCTTCGGCAACATACCTGTTGTAGAAGGTAGAGCATTATTACTATTTTACATAGAGAAAAGGATCACAATAATCATAATATATTTGTTTAAAGGTGTAAAAGCAGTATTCATAAATGTAAAATATTTTGAAGGTGAAAATACACTTTAGCATTAAAATCTGCTCTGCCGTAAAGTGAGAATTCAGAGTCAATGTCACTGATAACAAGTCAAGATTTTTCAGATGACTCATATTTTCAGTTAAAATAAACCATTACCTAGACATTCTGAGTCAGAGTAAGGTTAAATTCAAATAGTGTGTCTTGCAACATTACTGGCTCCTTTGTCAATTATCTAGTGTTTTCCTCCTGTGTTACTTTATTTATTATCTCTTCTTTGTATTTCTTGATCCTCTCTTCTTTTTTTCTCCTATCTTACATTTTCTCAGTCGTTTCCTTTTTCTCTTTTGTGAGTTCTATTTGCCCCTTCATCTCTTTTTTTTCTGGAATTCCAGAAGACATACTGCCATCAAGAAGTTACCTCAGTCCAAAAATTGTTCCCCAGCATTTGTAACTGTACAGAAGGACTGCCAAACAAGATCAGAATAAGTCAGAGCACTGTGAGTTCAACAGTCATAGCTCTCTGCGATTATGGCACTGATTTTTAGGTGGAAAATATAAAAAGTACCTAAATGTCTTTTCAATTTTGCAAGGAGCAAATATGCGAATTCATTGCCTGCTAAAAGTTATCTATTAAATAATCACCCATGAAAAAGTTTTTCTGTTCGTCATTAGACAGCTAAATTTAAATTATTATCTAGGAGAATATTCTGCATTTTTACTACATAACTTACTGTACAACAGACGATCAGTCTTCTGTTTTTCATACATTAAATCCTGGGTTCTCTCAGAAACTAGTATCTCCAGGTGTTTGCTGTACTTCTCCATCTAAACAACACGAAGAATTGTACAAAACATTTATTGAGATAGACAAGTTTTAAGCCTTTGAATGATTCCGCTCAGAAAACATTCAGATGGGCAAAGGCCCAGGTTTGAGCTAGCTAAGTTTTTTTTAAAATGTCAAAGATCATTTTTTCTCTTTAGGTGAATTCATGATCTTAGATTTGAGATTGCTGCTCCCACTGGCAGAAGTCAGGCCCAGAGTTTTCAAGTCTGTGTAATCATTATGGGTCCACTCCCAAGCAGATCCCAAGTTGCAAAGAAGTGCATTAAGATGCTTTGCCGAGACCAAAGTTATCTCAGACTTTTATCAAAAACTTGCAATGCTACTCCATAAACTTTCATGCTATTCCATGATGCTTGTATCCTTTTTTTGTAGCTCTCCTACTGGAGAGGTAGGAGTCTCTTCTCGCTGTTAATGGGCTTAAGAGACGGTGCTTAAAATGCCTCAGTAAACATTGTATTTGTAGCACACAGGGACTCCATATCCCGAGCACCATAAAACCACAGCCTGGCCATCGAGTGCATAAAAACCTTAACACCGTAAGGCTGAAAAAAAGCAAAAATGTTCAGCCCCAAACAAGTTCAGAAAGTTATGAACAGAGATGAGAAGGCAGCTGGGTCTCAAGCATAACTGCAGCTTCTCTTGAGGTGCTGCTTCTTTATTAGAGGTGAGCAAACAATTGCTAGTTTTCTCAGTAAACATCAAAATCAAACCTGAGAGATAGAGATGGAAGTCCATGCAGCTGGGCAGTTTGACTTGGGTTGGACTAAAATTCTAAACTCACCAGGGTCATCATCATGTCAACAGGGCTAACTTTATTAGGATTCATCTTGTACAACGTTTTCTTGATTTGTTCAAATGTGGGCCTTTGGGCTGGATTGTTTTTTCGGCAGCTCCTGATTAACTGCAACAGGGAAATAGGGAAATAAAAGCAAACAGTCTCTTGTCTTTGCAGGTACGGGTAGTATTTCCCATTAGTGCTGTTATTGGTGCTAACTGTGCGTGTGAAGCCCTATCTGCAGTTGAGGAAAAATGAGGCAGCTATGGTGAGGTCTCCAGAGTTACACAGATTTATGCTGAATGCAAGGTGCAAGTTCATGAAAGTGCTACTGGCAAGAGTCATGGGTTAGATCAAACAGATGCTCACGTTCCTTCTGCCAAACACCGCTGAAGCTCGTCTCGTGCTTTAAGACAGTGTTACACCGTTGGAGTCACATACTGTTTTCAGAGAACTTCTCTGTACACAAAATTAACATGGGTTTAATAACTTCATTCCAAAACCAGTTAACCTCGCACTGAAATCCAGCGCTGCTGAAGGGAAGGTTGCTATGTTTAGGCTGGTATAAAACCAGCAACAGTCAGTTGTTGTCAAACAGTCTTAAATTGAAACAAAAACACCATATCCTTCTTGCAATTTAACTGAACAACTGAACATGGCAGGAGGGGCAGTTTGCTTCAATAGTGAGTTTGAGTTGCTGTACACATCGACCTTCTGCAGGACTAGGATCAAACAAAACCCATGATTTGCCTAAGGCATGTACTTCAACATTTAAATTCCGTTGTCAGTAACTTAAATATGTATTACTAATGTTAAATGTGTATGGAACGCAACACTTTATAGTCAAATGAAAATGCACAAAAACTGATGACTGGTTATTAAAAACACTATATCTTGCACTGACAACTTAGGAGAAAAACTGAAACTTTCCATTCATCAGAATGACTTTTTTATTAAGGATATTAAAGCTATTTCACTGTGCCTTGTTTGAGACGTGATTCTTGGTTTCTGGGTTGTTAGGTAATAGTGCTCTGAAACTTCTTTCACATGTCTGCAGCCTTAAATTCTCTTCAGTAAAATTTTGTTGTAAGCAATATTGTATCTTACTCACCTCTATGATGTAATCTGTGGGACATGGGCAAGAATTCTCAGACTTTCCTGAAATTAATTCTGCCAAAGGTAGGCACCAAGAATATTCAGCTGAAAGTACATCATCTTTCTAGAGAAATAGGAGATTAAAAAGTGTTGAAAGAAGAGCAGAGGAACAGAGATAGATCTGAAAAGAAATTTATCATGTTAATAGAAAACAATAGACAGATCAAGCGATCCTAGATGAAAATATGTGGTGCGTTTTTCATATATCCTGTTGAAAACATATTAGTATGATCATTATTTTTGTGACATTTCTTGCCTATTACTGCCGGTATAGGAGCTTTCGTTTTTTCCTTCTCTTTTAGAACTTATCTAGATCAGCATTTCTATATCTGAGTACAGAAAAAAAAAAAAAGGATACAGCTCAATCTAGTCTGGGTGGCTGTAGCCGAAAGCCCTCTAAGCCTAAAGGCTTTAATCTTAGTCTATATACCAGGTAAACAGCTACGGAAATGAATGAATACATTGAAAGATATTTGGAGACTTTTGGGAAACCACAAGTCCTGCTTTGGTCCGTTATTACAAACTGTTAGAAGCAGAAGGATGTTAGTTTCAAGTTTTTGTTGTTAGAATTATTTCAGATAGAACATGGTTGCACATTCAAGGTGCGTTTTTTGTGCGAAGAACTGATCATGAGATGATGGGATGCATGCGCAGATGACACCTTCCCTGTAGAGAGCAGCTCAGATGCTCTTCTAGCCTGTTCTTACTACTGCAAGACCCCACTGAAGGAACCTGCGCTGAGTGGGAAGGGGAAGGAACAACCAGAGCAAAAGGAAGCTGCTAAGGCATAACTCCGCCCGCTTAGATCTTGCAGAGCTAACAAAAAGACAGTTTTGAACCTAATTATTTCCTTCATTCACTCTTCTTCAAAATCCTGGATGGGAGACCAGCAGGTCCATGAGGAAGCCCTAACTGTAAGTTCCATTGGAAATGAATTTGCATTGGTAAAATCAAGAGAAAAAATGTGGCCTCAGAGAACAGATTAAAGATTAAGTTATTCAGTGTTTGATTTGTATGTTCTTTGGAAGCAGAATCAGAATTAGCATGGAAACGTCAAAGTTCATTTTTACTTACTGGCACAGGGTCACTTCTTGTGGCAATTTCTAGTAAAATGATGGCATAACTGCAAAATAAGACAAACATAAAATCTTAATGAAGACATAATAAATGGAGATATTGATTTTCTCTTTGCACAGTTTCTCATGATTTTTATTTCAAATTTTGGGTGCTTTGGTAGTACCAAAATTGGTAGTACCACTCCTGGTGAGGAAGCAAAGCTCAAACAGATTTTCAAGGAGAACCATTAGATGATGGTAAGTCTGCTAAAGAATTATTGATTTCATATAGCCTTAGCAGCACTCTTCAGAAAAAAATCCTAACAGAGTGGATATGGCTATTGAGTGAGATTCAAATAACCATTTCAAAACACAAGAAGGCAGCCTGGGAGAAACTGAGACTGAAAACAGCCTCTACATCTCAAATGGGAGCTGCTCCTGTTCTCATTCCCATTTTAGCTTTCCCATCTGACCAACACATTCCCTGGAGAACTTTGGAAGCAAAGTGATTCATCTCTAAAAGCACACAAAGTTACAAGCCCCACTCCTGCAGTCCCTACTCATTCTTTATTTGGGCCACATCTTCAGGAATATTAATGTAACATTTACACAGATAACAACTGAGGATGTTGAGACTGCCCGGACAGTGAGCCCCTGCTCATCTGCCAGGAAGGCTTAGCACCTGGTCATATCAAGAAAAACAAACCGCATTAAAATGCAAGTTCTAAGGAATAGCTCAATTAAAAGGACAAGTTTTTTAATGCCACAGGATCCATCTATTGTTCTTCATCTTTCTTCCTTGACTGCATGTTGTTCTTGCCTCCTTTCTGATTTCATCTTTTTTATTTATTAACAAGAAAGGATGATCTGCAGTGCAACAAAAGCAGACCTGGATTTTGCAGATAGAGGAATTGACATCCGCTAAATCTATTAAAAGTTCATTGAGATGTCTGGTCTTCTATGATATGAGCCAATCAGTTGTTGACTCTATTTTAAGGGCAGTGCTTAGCAAGAAATGGCTTCAGGAGCCCAGGTTGCCTGCAAAGTTAAATAATGATATCCAATGTGAACGGGGACAAACTGTAAACCAGGCAAGCACCAAGGAGATAATATTTTCTAGGAAATAGAAGGCATTTTGGATGTGGGGCAATGACGAACGGCGATGCAAAAGACAATCCTAAAATTACTGTGGATTACTGTAGCTGGAGCACAGTACTTTCTAAGAGTAGTCCATGTTGAAATGGTAAAGACTGACAAAGGACAGAATGAAAGTACTCCAAAATATCAACACAACGTCAAACTCCATTCAACTAAGCTATTTCCAAACAAATTCTAAAGGAACACTTGTGTCTATAGATACTGGCACTATGGAGATCTCAAATTCTTGTTTGAGTAATCTGACCTGATAGAATGCATGACAATTTATAAGGTTCTAGCAGGTGTAGACATAGTATGTATATATGTTCCTTTACTGGTTTTGCACGAAACCGGTAAATCTTGTGATTGCATAACGAATCTTATCTTCAGACTGTTTCATTTTTAGAGAATCGTGAGTGAAAAAAGGGAAGACTTAAACAGCATTTACTGTTTCTGCAAATAATTTGTCAATAGAAGCCCCCAAGCAGTCACGCAAGGCAGTAAGTGTTAGTCATGAACCAATCTAGTCCAGAGTAAAACTTAGACCTTTTGATAAAATGGTGTAACAGCTGTTCTTTGGTAAACGCTGTTAATAAATAGGACTAATAACCATGCCCTCCTTGTTCAACTACGCTGCGCAGTTAGCATTTCAACCTCTTATTGAACTGCAGTTATTTACTTTCCACTAGCTACTAAAGTCACTGGGAAATAGCAGACTTCTGCTGTGCTGGGCAGTGGCAAGGACAAAGTAAAAGAAAACAGCCTCAAAAAATCTTATACTATCAGCCTTCACTTTCTGTTCTGACTGCTTTAAACAAAGTACTGGAAATAAGCAGACAGAGGAAATATCATTGTTATCAAATACAGCACACAAAGAACATGGTGATTTTTCTACTTCATACAGAAAGTTAGTGGGAGAACCAAGAAATACTGGCAATTAAACAAAAAAGTTCAATGTCCATTGGATTACTCTTCTCTACAAATTTGACGGTAATCCCATTTATCTGAAATGTGATTGGACATAAGCTGTGTGTTACTGGCAAAGCTAAAGATGCTGGCTAAACAAGCCACTGCAAAGCGATCGCCTACAGAGGCTTTCAGAAGGAAAGGGATGAAGCCATTCACAAGTGCATTCATTTCCTCTCTCTTGCTCAGATTTTCCCTGCAAGTGGATGCAGGAAGTATGTGTATGCAGTGAAATAATGTATTAGCACTGAAAAAAAAAAAAATAATGGGATGGACAGTATGACATTCTGGAATACTGATACTATTAACTCTTAAGGTATTGTCATTATAAAAAATAACCTATTTTTTCCACAAGAGACAACAACAACAAAAAAGAAATACTAAATAAGGTCAGCTCTTTAAGCCCTTTCTATAGCTGCAAGTCCAGAGCAATTCCTTATAAATCATTGGAACAGCTCTGTGTTTATATGATGTCAGTGAATACAGTATTTGGCTATCTACCTTGGAAAGGGTGATTCTATAGCATTTATACTATTCTGCACAGCAGGATCAATCCATTTTTAAACACAATCAAATGTATTTCTGGTGTGACCACAGAATTATACTAAGCCTAACTATCATTTTCAAAGCATTGACTTGAGATAGGAGCATTAAAAGAAAGAGATATGAAAAGCTTATTACCTGTACACATCTGTCATAGAAGTGGGTTCAAAGTCTGAAAGGGAATGGATCTCAGGAGCTATGTAAACCTCTATCAGGTGCTGCTGGTATGTGCTGGATCCTTCAGAAGAATCTTCTTTTCTGTACGATTGCAAACCATAATCTAAAGTGGAAGAAGCAGGAAAGCGAGCCACTCAGTAGGTAATTTTCTAAAACCCATGCATTCACAACTGGTTTAACGGAATTTATTTTCCCTCATTGAAACACACATCCTAGTCTAAAAATAGTGTGTGCTTGCTTGTCTTGTCTCTGTAAAACATTTGCAAATGTAGGATCTGGAAAGCAAATGTTTAGGTGAGATTGTGTGACTGTCCTTTGAGCAGCAGAGTTCAGCTAAATGGCTCCTTCCAATTGGGATCATTTTATAGACCTGCACATTCAGAGACAGTAGGCTCACTGTCAGTGCAAGAGCTATCACGCAAATGCATCATGCAACTTTCTGTTCTACTGATGTCTTTTCTGTAGAAGTATTATACTCACAGTATGATGATCCTCACCTATGATGGCAGGTTCCTCGAGTACTTAGAGAGGTTAGAGCAGCTCAGGATGGTGGGCTTGACTTGCACACCACCAGGCTCGGAAGAAAGGGAGCATACATGTCAAATATCTGTGCAGCCTGACATAGCCCAACAATGTGTTGGGCCTAACGGAGGAGAGATTCTATGAATGTGATTCAGCGTTGGATGGGGAAAGAAAGCCTGAATTCTGCTTGCTTAAATAGACACAGTAGTCGGCTTAGCGTGTGTGAAGGCACACCGTAGACCTTTGGTTTTGTTTGGAGTCACCTCTAATCAGGACATTCCTAAAGCTTCATTCTTCAGGTTGGAGGTTGCTAAGAGTTTTCAGTTATCCCCCACATCGGTTATTTTTTGCAAGCAGGTTTGCCTGGCGTCATCACATTCACACAGACCATGAGCATTCAAAGTCTCTATAGTACTACCAGTTACCTTCTCCTGAGAAATTTCACACAGACCCCATTTAATCCAGAGGAGCTGTGCTAGCGTGATGGAGCTGATGCAATCCAGCTATCTCCCTTTCTTATGCTTTTCCCCAGAATAAGCTCAAAGCAAAGCAGGCCATTCTGAAGGCACTAGGATACTATGGGAGGTGGAGAAGCAGCCATTAGGAAGAACCTTTGAAAGACAAACCTGTTGCTGCTGTTTCTACAAGTGGGTGCAGGTTATAGGCTATTGTAACTACTTCAGGGAGGGAGTGGGAGAGATGTTCATTGCTCCCTATCTCTTTATTGGCTGCAAGAGAGACTAAACTAGGCTCTCCAGTGGTTTTCCTGTCCCCTTGGCTGTCTTCCTGCCCCAGCAGCAGGCCAGACATGTAGCTCTGTGTTTGAGGAAAGAAAATTTCAGTTTTGTCTGCTTGAGTGAGAAGCTCTGAGACGAGTCTGCTTTTCCTCACAAAACCAATCAGTGAGTTAGCAGCATTCCACGGCTTCACAGCATCGTCCGTGATTAAGGTTTTCTCGGCATCAAAACTGAGAATGAGGCAGAGTTTCTATTTAGACTGATGTTGATGGACTCCATCGTTTATGGGATCCGACATGTGCAGCATGGCACATGTTAAATCAGAGGCTGGACATGATAACATAACATCAAGCTTGCTTCAGCACTGGGCGTTTGTAAGGAAGGCTGTTATAGCCAACATTTCCATCTAAAATGTCAACTTGACATTGGGAGCAGAGATCCTTGGGAGCAGCGTTGAGTGTGAAATCTATGTGCATTAGTATGTTAGCTGAACAGGTTTGAAGTTTTGTTTCATATCTTCCCTTTACCTGCAACTTTACAAACCCATCGGTCGTCTATCACGCAGTTGCTAGACTTCAACCGTCCGTGATACGTTTTGTGCCGGTGGAGGTAGGCCATTCCTTGGGCAATATCAGTAGCAAAAGAAAACCTGAAAGGCACAAAATCAGTGAAGTAGCATCCCCACTAAACTAGATCCTCACTCAAGAGAGGATCCAGATCCTACTGAAGCTGAGAGAAAGATTCTCCGTAACTGAAATGGCTTTCAAATCTGTCTGCTAGGCTGATTTCTCCAAGAATACTTAATATGGGCTGCTGAATGCACTTAACTCCCACCGAACTGTCTGAGTCCACAGGTGTTCAGGCTTTTGTAAGACAATTCAGCTTCTTCTAGAATGTCCCAGTACCTTTATATCCTTGAGTTAACTTTCAAATGTTTGAAAAAGAAACAAATTTCTATTAACTTTCTCACTTTGTTTGGAAAGTTTCCTGCATTGCAATCTTTTTCTTTGCTGAAGGCAAACATAACACAGAAGGCATGTACCAAGCAGATTATTTTCAGAAAATAATGGAAGTGTCTTCCTGGAAGTTTCTTGGAGAACCTGAGCTCATTTTCTATATTGTAACTATAATAAAGCATTTGTAGCTATGCTAATCATTTCACCAATGCACCTTCACAAATTGAGGAGCAGTTTTTTGATTAAACACAGAGCCTATGATATTTAGGAACGAAACGAAGTTACGTGGGGAAAAAGTTTTAGAAGCAGCTTTGCGTTATAGCCAGAAGCGGGGTGAAAAGTCGTTGACTTAGCATGACCAGTGCTAAAGGCAGTATTGCTCAGAAATCCAAAAGCCAAGTTGGGCTGGATGCTTGAATTCTCTTTCTTCTTCATTCTCTCCACATCACAGTTCAGACCTGTTCCCCCAAGACTTTATCTATAGCTAACATCTTGTCCCAAACAACAAATAGCATGTGGGAGCATCTTTTAGTTTTTCACAAGTCCTGTTTACCTGAAGCCCCAGTTCAAAGGGATGTCTTCACTGAGTAGAACATCACTCAGGCTACCTTTGGGGCAATATTCTGTCACGATGGCAACATTTGGCACTTCTATGCAACCGCCAATGAATTTGCAAAGATTGGGATGGTCAAGTTCCCTGTGAAAATGAACAGAAATCACAGCACACTAGCAGCTTTCATGAATCTCCCTCCTACTTCTTGCATGGAAACAGGAAGGCCAACTGCATTCTCTCAAAATGGTAAAGGGAAAAGTAAAATAGGCATAAGAAGATGTTGACCAGGTGTCAAAATAAAGTTTGAAAGAGAATTTACAGTCATATTTGGACAGATTTTAACCTCTGTGGAACCAATGGAACAACATACACTTCTTAGGTTTCACTTCTTACCTCACTTGCTTTACTTCCTTACGTATGGATTTGGACAGGCTGAATGCCTTCTTCATTATTTTCTTTATAGCCACTGTTCTACCATCACTGCAACAGAATGAAAATGCTGGTCACAACGTTTTAATCCAACTTCATAAGCCAGCCAGGCTAGGAGAATGAACTGTGTGGTTTTTTTTTTTTTCTTTACTGAGGACAGCTTCAGATCTCTATAGATGAAGCAGGGAATTGGAGCATGTCCATACGTCAATCTGAATCTGACTCTGTGATGGGACACTGTTTTCGTGGTAAGGGAAGCATTAGTCCTTATCTTCAAGTATCTTTGATCCGTGGATGGCTTTTGGAACAAGCTTCAGGGAAAGCTAGAGTCAATTCAGTCCAGTTAGAAGGTGGAGCTGCAGCAAAGGAAATGTCAGAGCTAGTAAAACACATACCGCAACATCCTTGTTGTCTCGTCACTTCTCTGTTTATTTTGCTGGAGATTCACCACTGATCATTTAACACCCCTCTGCTCTTAAAATGATCAGTCTCAGGGATGAAGCAGCTGAGTTTGACAGATAGCAAAGCAATTTTCCTTTAAATTAATTTTATGAATTAATGGAGCCCAGTGGAGACTTGTGCAGTGACTTAAGTGATACTTACCTTTTAAATACACATGACAGGTCTGTGGTGTAGCAGGTGTAGATGTTTCACTGTTAAGACTGAACCCCCAATTGATACCCTTTTCTTACATCATCTGCCCTTGATTCATGTGTTTGCCCTTGATTCCTCTGAGGAAGATGATGGTGATGGCGGCGATGTAATCATTCAGAAATGAACAAGAACGGTCAGTGTAAAAGATTCATGCTGGACACAGAGTCTCATCAATGAAGTGGCTGAGATATTCCAGAATAGTGATCTGTGCTGAGAAATCAGCCACTCCTCTGGCCGGCGATCCAGAGAAAGCTGTTCCTGCCCCTCCATCCACAGCACAGGTCCTGTTGGCCATAATCAAATGGTAAGCAGCACTTAAGTTTCTGCACACATTCCACCCCCACCCCCAGTTACATTATTTTTATGGGAAAAAGTGCTTTGCAATCTGTCATATCACCAGTGATTGCAGTGCTCAGGAACCCATCCTTTCTGGATAGCAGGGCACGGCTGTACTGGTTGTGATTATGGTCATGTGATGTGCCTCTTCACAATGTGATCCAGAGGTGACATGCACTCCATCTTCAGTCATGTCAGCTGGTTTAAGGACAAGATTTCTAATCTTCTACTGCATAGTGTGCCGTTCTTTAGTTCAAAGAACTTTGCCTTGTTCTACTTGCATTTGGAAGAAGGGCTGTATCAAAACCTTGGACACTGCATTTGAACACTGGGGGCCATGCATTAGCCGATGCAAGGTACATTGTGCAGTCCCACACTTCTAAAAACTCCCAAAGGGAAAACGATAACCAGAACTAGAAGCTTGGCTGTGAACATACCCCACAGCCAGGGTACTCCTCTGACAGAAGTCACAGGAGTACTGACTGTACTTTACTGAATTTGGCCTAACAAGAGAAATACAAGCTTTTGTACTACTTGGCAATAATAATGCGGCAAAAAACATAAACCAGAGTGAAACTACAGCATAGTAATACAGAAAATAAGTACTGTATTGGCTTACTATCTCCCAGTCTGTGTGAAGTACTGTTTCCTGGGCACTTTAGCAGCTGCTGTGCTCAGAGCAGTAACACAGCCAGAACTGGAGTCACTAGGTGCAGGGGGGACGCTTATCATGCTTCCCGTTGCTGTCCATGCTATGCGATCTAAATGGGATGTTAGATGAGAAAGGACACCTGAAAATGCATAGTTCTGCAAAGATGGAGACTTCAGACAAATGCAGGGAATTCTTCAAATCTTGGTATCCAGGACTGTCCTTGTTAATACTTAAGACAAAAGGGCATTGCTTAGAATGCGACTACTACGCAAGAAGTAACAAAGCTCCAGAGGTGATGCACTGCTAGAGACCTCTCACAGTAAACCTTAGGATCTGATGCAAGTTCTTCTGCTCTCGGGATAAGCAGTCCTTGCTGCTACTTTGATGCAGAGGACAAAACCCAGGGAAGCAGAGCAAGCTCTGTGCCATATTTTAACAAGTCTATTTGGAGCTCCTAGAAAACTGTAAAGTACAGTGTCGTGGGAAGTGATTCTGACACCAGGGGGAAGTCAGAGAAGAGTAACAATGCAGTCAGATGAAAAAAGATCAGTGATCTCAACGTACATTTTTTAATACCCCTTGACCAGCTCAAGGTAACAAAATGTATTTAGAAGCAGATTTAATGAATTACTCATCATTTTACCGTCTCAAATTAAGCCCCAAACTGGACCTATTGTTTTAAGTATTGCTCAAACCTCTCAACTCTCCCTGGTATCAGTATCCAGTAAAGTGCCGCAGAGAGAGTTCAGCATCTCACGTTGAACCAGGACTGCCGTGTTCCCACACCATAGTATTATCCACGTGCAGTTAAAAATTACACTGACATTTGGAGCCTTTCTACAACATTCCACCCAAGAATATATTAGAGATCCCTGAGATAGCTCTGAGAATGAGAGTATGTCTATATTGCACAATGCACCAGAGTAAGAGTCATCTGGAAAAAATAATTGTTCACAGCAAAGGCTACATAGACTGCTTGCAGCTGCCATTTAGACAGCGGTTCATCTCAGGCTACCGGGTATCTCTGAGTAGTTCTGCCTAGAAGAGACATACGGTTTGTTGCCAAAATCGTGACTTTATCAGCCCTCATTACTTTAAGTTGCTTTTCATTATTACTCCTAGGTCTTAAACTGTATTGTCGGTTTCGAGGCTCTTCCCCAAGAAAACTGTCTTTCATCTTGGTTTTTCAAATTATTTTTTATTGTGTTATTTTTTGATGGTGCTTCTAATTTCCCTCAGTGTCTTTCTATTGTTTCTCTTACTATCAGCAGAACATTTAATTAATGTTCTGGTCTGCTATATTTAAAGACTTTTGTCCTCAAATGCTCCATTTCCATTTTCACAAAATTAGATTGAAAGTTTGTTTGGTTTACATACTCAAATTCATTTCTAAGCCAAAGTCTGTTCTTTACAGCCAAAGTTATAGTATTAAAACTGCACAGAAGTTGTTAATGCTCAAGTCTAAGACTGCAACTATCTCTACTGTGTTAACACAAGAATGTCTTGGCACTTTTACTAGTGTTGCAATGGGATTACACAGCTAAAGCAGACATGATCTTTCTAGCACTTCTTCACGGAAACAGAAAATGAGGAAGTGTACATTAGCATCCTATAGACCTCAGTCGATATCCACAGATTTATCTATTCTAGGGCCTAGGCCTTGTTTTCTTTCTGAGTGTTAAAACGTTGAATGGCAAAGTGAATGGTCCAGTCTGTAACTGTTTTAAATGCAGCAGAGTAAAAGATATAATAACATAAGAAAATAGTAAGATAATAATAGAAGATAATGACAGCAGATAATAACTGATTTTATTTCTAACATATTTAACTAGAACCAATTACGGTCATATATTATACCCAGAGAAAAAAATGAAAAAATCGCAGGCCATAATGAATTACTTTTTGTAGCAAATCCACAACAGACAGCATACATTTGAGAGAAATTAAGATCTCATCATGTCTGTATAAATTCAGGGCAACTCAGTGAGGCCAGTTATACAGAATGTTACATGCACTGAATTAATTGCAGTTTATTTTGTTCAGGTCCAGAGGTTGTCTGTGTATTGTGCGCTAGGCCTGCATATTTTTTTTTTTGTCAAATCGCTAGAAATGGGAAGGGAACTATTTAAAATAGCTTTGAGAAATAAAGTTTCAATAAACAAAAATGCCAGCTCCCAGAGGTTGCAGTAACAATTTATTTGGATATAACTTTTGCAAACCGATTCACCTTTTGGCAGACCTTTATAACATGAAGACATACTTATGAGTGAGATTCTTTCACAAAACTGTTAATGAAACTAATAATAGTATCAAAGTGACAAAGTACTAACCTTGTTTGATGTGGGTGAAGTCTATAATCCAGCTTTCATCCCAAAGCATCTTTTGTTTCTGATACTGAAACCACTACAAAAATAAATCAAATTCATTCCTGATACAGCCCTACTGGCTTTGAAGGAATTAAAACAGAGGAGAGTTTTTCAGATGTAAAAGACCGCATCTGTCCAAAATCTGATACAATACCAAATATCTTAGAAACTATATATTCTTTATTCTAGAGTCTAATCAGATATAATATTTTGCATTGACTACAAACTCTTTCCGTTCTTGTTAGTATTTTTTATGTGGTACAATACAGCCCAGGTATTGATGAGTCTTTTGCATCACCTCGTATCATGGAAATGTCCTTTGCTGCATAACACACCCCGACCCCCAAAAAAGAAGGAGCACATGGTGTATTGATCCACAAATGAGGCAGTGCTATGTGAAATACTCTGGCGTAAAGAATATTAGATAGTGACTCTGTGAATTTTTGTAAAGAAGATATAGGTCCAATAATTGACTTAATAAACAGCTGACATACACAATAAATAGAGAATTTATGAACTCACGCTTTCAAAAGACAAGTTGCAGATTAAATTATACTGTTGTTATAACTGCAATCAACACCAAAATGTAAAACGAAAGCAGCATTTTACCATCCCTCTACCCTGTTTTATAGTCTGGCACTGAAGATGAGAAATGATGCATTCATTGAAACAGTACACCAAGATAATGCTGAAGGAACAGAGGAACATGGTGTGGAGATTGTGACAGTATTTTGGTAGAACTTTATGACTGATACAGACTTCACTGAATCAACATGAAGTCTTTACACTTCAAAGTATTTCTGAGAAAATTATTGTCTTGCAAAGCTGTGGATGAACAAAGTCGTATTAACTGGAAGTGACCGCTGGGCTTGATATAGCCACTGAGGACAGTGGAATCCTCTCCGCTACTTGAATGATTAAAGGATGCATTAGATTTGCTAGATGGTTCTTCTTACATTTTGTAAATTATAGAATTGAATAAAAAGTATCTTTCTTATATTGTGTACCCCCTTCTACAGAAAAATATTAGGAGTAATAGTTTAAGTTTTGTTACAAGACCTTTAGATAAATCTGTGCAAGTCACAGATATTCCATTTACTTTTTGTGAAATGCCAACTGTTGTCTGCTGAAATGATATACTACTAAAGTTTGTCTGAACTTGTCATCTGTTTAATTTCATTTTTCTGTCAGATCATATGATTTAACAGGATAGTTATTATAAGCACATTACTACAACAATGCTGTGGCTTGTAAATGCTGAAATGAGAAACAGAGACACAGGGAGGTTAAGGCCTAGTTTTCAAAAGCGCTTCACTTCTAATTTTGAAAGCCACGCAGAGAGGCATAGAACGGAGTCAAAAAATCAAGCTGCTGCTGCCTGCTGCCCTTGTAACACCCTATTTGTTGGGCTGCCAGCCTTCTCCTGCCCACTCCCTTTCAGCTCACTTGAGTGCTTTAGATGGTCTCCACAAATGCAGAGCGAGACAGAAAACGAAGTAATCTTTGAGGTAACAAGAGCCCATCAGTTTGCAGGATTTATAGGCCAAACCCCAAATAGCCCATCTATTATGTAGATAGTCAAGATGGTGACTCTGCATCTGCAAATATTCACCTGCCTACTGCCTGCCAAGACATTCAGAAATGTATTTTTTCCAGGATGCAGACACATCAGGAATACAGATCCTGTTTCCCAGAAGCTGTAAAGTAATAAGCCATAATAATATGCTGCCCTATGTTTATATAAACATTTCCATTCCAAGGGATCCAAAAGTACTTCTCCTATAGTTACATGTTCCTATCTGCTCATATCCCTTTTTGTTTTTCCTTCAGCATTCTATTGTAATAATTGGTAACTATTACAGCACAACTGAGCATTTTTAATGGAACAAAACTGTGCTCTGCCCTTGCTTATACTAAGAAAACGAGTATATAAAAACGGTAACAAGAATATCTTAGCCTTATTATCCTTCAACGTTCAGCTATCAACGTGTTAAAAATATCTCAAGTTGAATATTTTTCATTAGAAATTGTATTTGAACTATTAGATTTAATAGCCTCTGGTAGACTTATTTGCTTTATGAAGTTGCCTAATTCCTTTTTGAATTCATGTATACTTCCGTATTCTGCATACTCCATAGCATTTTGGAGCAGTTAGTTTCGCAGATCACTTTTGCTTTGAAGGAGAAACACTCTTCTTTCTTTTAAAGTTTCTGCTTGATAACTTTACTGGGTACTGCTTCTCAGATTGTGAACAATGTTAATAACTACCTTTTCTTTATCATTACATATCCGTCTGTTATATTCCGCTTAATTTTCTCTCTTCCAGGATGAAAATTCCCAGTCCTGTTAGTCTTTCCTCATAAAGAAACCAAAAGAAAGTTTTTTTTATCTCCCTTCTACTTCCTTCTGTAGCACACAAGTTTCTGGATATGGATGATTTATCCATACTTTACTGACTTTTACTGATCCTTTACTTAGAGTGAGCCGCAGTCTTCATGATCAAACAATGGAAGAGAAAGGAAGTAAGAGGAGAGAAAGGAAACTCACCATGATAGTCAGTATGAAGCCAGCGCAGACTAAACATATCGGTAAGGCAATTGCTATCCTAGCATCAGCAGACAGTGGACATTCCCCACAATCAGCTGGGCAGGTAGAGCAGCCTTCTTCTCCCTCACAGAAGCCATCTCCACAGACTGATTAGAAAAGGAAACACTTATTTTAAGATAACATCCTCCACCCACAAGGCTGGGTTCGTACACAAACACATAATTTTTGAGCTGCGGACATCTCAGCGTGCCAGAAAGAATAACTTTCGCAGAATCCAGAGACAGTACCCCAGACTCTGGAAGAATTATGTGGACTTTCAAAGTGATGCAAGATCTCTTCAGTCAGACAAAACTGCTTAGGACACGAGAACCTTTGACATGTTCTGTGTATATTATCGCTAATTATGACTCTCTTTTCCATTATCCGTCTGGCGTTCTGAGACTCAGAGTTCCTTAATGCAAAGATTCTATTTTATTCTGTGTACTCAGTCTAGCCCTTGGGAGCCCTAGAAGTAGGTAGCTCTTCCTCAGCAGCAGCAGCAGCAGCAGCAGCAGACTCTGGGTACTGTGAATGACTTCCTGCAGAATGAATCCTTACAACCCATCCCTCAAGGATTTTTTTTTTTCCCCTCCAAGGTCTCATGAAAATTATCAACTACATCAAAGGCCAAAACTCCGTCTCCCATGCCTTGAATGGTGTGTCAGTTTTACTCCTACACCTAAACTGCTAGCATTCTGTGCTTCAGCCTCCTGAGAAAAGCTGAAGGGATTGTTCTGTCACTACGTATTTTTGAAAAAAAAGACTCAGCAAAGCAAAATCCACCGCGCAGTAATAATTCTTTCTGGTTCTTTTGATTTCATTATAATACCAGGATTCTCTGCCTCAGGATTAGAGCTGCAAAACCTTTTTTTTAGTAAACTGTAAGTTTGCTGGAAAACTTAGCTGCAACTATCTTGAATTTAAAAGCAAATTCACCCAGAATTTGTTAAATACTTTCATTCACTTTGGGGTTGCTTTGCTTGTTTGTTTTTTTCATAGCACTGGGAAATACATTTACAAACAGCCAGAAGAGCAGATAATGAGAGTACTGTGATGACATTCCTATTTTACTGAACATTTTTCTTCATGTGTTTCATTTGTTAAAATCCACTTTTTTTAGTTTTACATTGATAAGAGAATTGCTACTGTTTCCACTTACCTGTACACAGCTTTACTAAAGTGAACAAAACACTGATGGCTTTGGGAATTCCTGGAATTTAATGTGAACAAGAGCACCAAGCTGGATTTCTCTCTTACTAGCACATTTGAGGCCAGTCTGCTCCCTCTCAGATGAAGAAAGTCCGTATCACCAAAAAATACCAGCTGGAAGAATATTTCCAAATCCCCATCACAACTGAATGAGCCTTGTAGTGCCTGAAGCTGTTGGCTGTGGTATTTGAATTTACCCATTCAACAAGAGTGCCTCTTACTGTTCTGTATTCATATACAGGTAAGGAGAAGCTCATTTTTTCAGATGACCAGAGATGACAGGAAAGAAGAATTTTAGAAAGAGCTCTGTTATACATTTAACTGTAAAGGGGGTAAAAGTCACATTTCCTCTTGCTATCCAGGCATGATATTGATAAAAGAATTTAATTTTGCAGTCAGTAAGCGATATCCTCACATCTTCACTTTATATCATACCTACTGCAGGGAGTACTGTGGTTTTTGCTTCCTGAGCAACTTGCATTTTCCCAACTCTGATGTGCGCAATGAGAGAAGTCACACCCGCATGAACTAAAACAACCTGCCAAACAAGCAAACAAAGCAGAAAGTATCACAACTTCGCATGCATACACTATGACCTTACAACACCAGTCATCCAGTTGTGGTGTCTTCCAACAGAATGACTGCCTTTTTTCCAGAAATAGGAACTGCAGGAAGCTTGCTTGGGGAGACAAACAGGAGCAGGAGAGATGAGTCTTGCAGTAAGGGCAAGACTCTCACTTTCCTTTCATCAGGCAGGGCTACCAGCCCATGCATCCTGTCACCTTTGCTTCCTTGTTACCTCCGCTTGGTCGAGAACCCCTAATCATCAAGTTAACCTGTGCTATAGTGCAGACAGTAGTGCAAGATATCAGTAGTGTATGTTTTAAATGGACACATTTGGCTATTTGCTTCCTTCCTACCCCCATTCTTTCTACTAACTGCCTTTGGACTGGGTAATGTGAAAAGCAATTGCTTCCAAGTAAAGACAATTGGGAATTGGTAATAGTCAGCCATCTGCATCACTTACACATATGTGACGCTGATACAAATAAATGAGGAGCGGATCATGCTCATGGCCTGTATGAAAATACTAGGAGGTAAGATCTGAAAAAAAGAAAACTTAGTCTGAAGCTCTGCATGCAATAACTGTACCTTACCTTGGCAGTCCAGTTTCTTTGACTCATTTTACCAGCTGTAGACAAAGTATGGGTAAATATCTGGCCATCATCTGGAATCCATGGACCACATATTCCTCCTTTACCCTTTATGAGACAGATTGGTTGTGTTAGTAAACAATGACACAATGAAAATCCTAGCTCCTCCTTTTCTACCTTGTTAATATTACTTGTGTTCTGTAACAGCAAACGAAATTATATCTTATAACCAATTCTATTAAAATGCTGAAGCACAAACAATACTGCTCTGTGATAAAATAAAAGATAGTAAAAAAGGAGCAATTGCACTCACGCTGAATTCAAAATCTCACAAATCTAATTATTATTTAAAGTACATGAGCCAAAATCTGGTCCCAAATTTTATCCAGAGCAATTCTATGATGATAATACACTTATTCAGGATTTGCTGTATAGTAACCAGACATTGAATTATATCTCACATTTTGTATTTTTCTAAATGGGTTTTATTGCAGCTTGATTTCTGATACGGCAGCTTTTTTTTTTTTTTTAAACAAGTAAGCAAGGCACCTCTTTTCTGTCGATGCCTGTTTGCAGAGTATTTCTCACTAAAGCTGCTAAGATGTAAACTTCTCAGCAACTGCAGCCACAGAGGATTATTAAGGCTATATGAGGATCTGACATTGCTTTGTTTGTTTGAAAAGATTAAGTTTGTCTCCTAACTTCAGATATTTCTTCAAGCGTTTCTCTCCATGCACTGTAGGACACAGACCAAAATAAAAGAAATTGAGTTCATGCTAGACAAAGTAAAATGCTTCAGAACTGATGCCACTGTATAAAAAAACAAAAATGAAAAACCAAAAACCAAAAAGCCAGCGTAAGGGGAAAAGCTTACTTTGGAATGCATGTTCAGGTAATGCAATGACACTTCTCTGGTTTTCTTGCTGTATGGCAGCCGACTTGTATAGACCAATCTCTCGTAAGCTGGAGTCGAAATATTTGAAGTTGAAGCTGGACAACGAAGCCCTCCAGAGAAGGACCTCTGGGTCCTGGTGGACCACAAGTTGACCATGAGGAAGCAATTTGCCCCAAGAAGGTCAATGGGATCCTGGGCTGCATTAGGCAGAGCATTGCCAGCAGGTCGAGGGAGGTGATCCTGCCCCTCTGCTCAGCCCTGCTGAGGCCTCATCCGGAGTGCTGTGTCCAGTTCTGGGCTCCCCAATACAAGAGACATGGAGCTCCTGTAGCGAGTCCAGTGGAGGGTCACTAAGATGATGAATGGACTGGAGTGTCTCTCACATGAGAAGAGGCTGAGAGAGCTGGGAAGCTTCTGAGAAGCTGGGAAGGCTGAGAGCTTCATCCTGGAGAAGAGAAGACTGAGGGAGGATGTGATCAATATTTATAAGTATCTGAAGAGAGAGTGCCAAGAGGATGGGGCCAAGCTCTTCTCAGTGGTGCCCAGTGATAGGACGAGAGGCAACAGGCACAAACCGAAACACAGGAAGGTCCATCTGAACATAGGGATTACTTCTTTCCTGCGAGGGTGACTGAGTGCTGGAGCAGGTTGCCCAGAGAGGTTGTGGAGTCTCCGTCCTCTGAGATATTCGAAAGCCATCTGGACAGGGTCCCTGGCAGCCTGCTCTAGATGTCACTGCTTGAGCGGGGGGTTTGGACTAGATGATTTTTAAAGGTCTCTTCTAACCTCAGCTGCTCTGCTCTGTTCTGTTCAGTTCAACGCATGTTGGCTACATCCTTGCGCTTTTCCCACACCTTGATTCCAAGCAGAACTGATTGGGGAAGTAAGAAATAGTGGAAAGTTCACCATAATGGTGGGATACTTAAGTTCTCTCCTATGGTTTTAGCCAAAAGCTTTGATTTGAAGTTTTCAGTAGATATTCCTCTTTTAAATCAAATTCCTGGGATCAGCCAAGGCCCAGAGAGTCCGTAAGAAAGGATCTCCCTTGGGAAGGGAAAGTTAAGAAGCAAGATAGAGCTCCTGTTCAGACTTTGAGTTTTCACACAGAAGGATGTAGCTATATAAAGGTAAGCTGTATTTGAGGCAAGTAATCTCAAAGAGACGAAATATGTCATGCATAATGAGAGAGTTTAAATACCACCTTGTCCAAAAATCCAGCCATTTGCTTTGCAGACTCAACTTCCTGTCCAAAACTTTCCAAAACTGGCAGATAGCCTAACAGTATTTTTAGTGAACTATAGATCTGACTGAACTGTAATTGCAGAAAGACTTCATAAAGTTGAACTTGGTTATTGCAATAGCTCATCCAGTAGCAAGAAAAAAACACACAAACTCACACTCTCATACTAACCATGAAGGCCAAAGGACAGGAGTGAATGTTGGCATGATGGACACAGCAGTTCTCCCCATTTGCTTCTTTCCAGTTATCAGGGCACTCCTGCTCCTCGCAGAAGTCCTTTGCAGCAGTAGCATTGCTAGCCAAGCGGCAGAGAGGGAAAGGAGAGAAAGAGAAAAACTTTTAAATTCATTCTTCTTTCCTCAAAATTTTAACAAGCATAGGAGAGCCTGTTCTTTATCCTGCACAGAAAAATTTGCAATACAGACACACGCAGCAAGAGAAACACTGTTAAAGCACTTCTTTTTCTTTTGTTTTACTTTTGGTTAAAGATGTCCTAGAGCAGTGAATGCTGCTGTCAACCGGACCACCATCTGCTGCTATGCAGTAGGGAGTTCTGGCAGATACTGTGCCCCAAGCAGCTGCCAACCTCCACTTATCTCTCCATCCTGACAGCACCACCAGATGGGGCAACTTGGCAGTGCTACATCTGGCACAGAAGCACATACCATTACTGTACTTCCACTATCAGAAGTATGTGTCCCTGGCTACTTTCACTCTCAATGTTTTCAACTGTATACATTCAACAATGCATGTGACTCGCACATCCTGCTCAGCTTCAGTCTTTGCTCCACAGTCCAAACAGCCAAGGATAACGAATGTTTTGGACGATAACATCAGATATGATTGCCCAATCAAAAATATTTAAAGCAAAAATTGGACTTTGCGAAACAGACTGCTCTGCAAAAAGAGGTCAGGCTTGTAAAGATTCACCACAGAAAGATGAATACATCCAGATGGAAATGTATGTTAGGGTCAAAACAGTTTTCCCTACTCGTTTGCTCAGTTTAACTTTCAGTTGAACAATTATTTCTTTGAGTTTGCTGTCACCCTGATGAGACAGAGTTGAAGCAGCTGAAATCATTTTCTCCAAACATGGTTTACTCTCTGGGTATTGCCAGGCTTAGGCACTGGGTTTGGGTTTGGTTTGAATGTTACGAACTTGCGTATTTGTATATACCTCTGTATTCAAAGCAATGCCAGAACACCAGGATGTTTTTTTTTTTTGTTCTGCTTTTACTGCAAGAAGTACAAACTAGCTAGTAATTAATAAATTTAGGAAAGAGGACTACTTTGTAGCATATAAACACAAGCACAGGGGATCAGGTTGACACAGATCATATTTAAGGCCAGATTTACAAAAGCACAGACATGCTTGATAACTCAGACAGGCAAATTTGTAAATCCTCAGATATCTAAGCAGCTTAGATATTAATATCTATCGGCCTCTGAACTGAAATTGAGAGTTCAAAAGAAAATGTTTAGAAAGTTGGTGCCTAATCCATTAGGCATGTCTCTTCATGGTCGCTTTTTAAAATTTACCCTGCATTCTGAAGCTTTCATTCACTTAAACGTCTTCATCAGGGACTCGTTCAATTCTGCTGGACCCAACGGGGTAACTTGCCAACTACAGCTACATTTGGCTCAGCCACTGTAAGCTTGAAAGCCAGCCATATACTCTTGTACTTAAAATAAGGTGCAACTTTGATCCCTCTGAAAAACTGCAACGCTGATACCTCTCTTTTTAATATTTGTCCTCTCTCTCTGTGTGCAAGATGCGTATAAGTAAGTATACAAAGACCAGAATTTTCTAAAGTTCCTTATTGACTTAAGGGAGTTCATTTCCTTGAAAAGATAAGAGCAACAGATTCATTTGCAGGCAGTGAGAAAAAATTACAGCCAAGTTCTTGGACCTAGCACTATTGAGAAAATTTGGAGAATGTGAAAAACAAATTTTACAAAACAGTGTAACCATAGTACTCAGACGATCAAAATATGACACTGACTTTTTGCCACTACAAACAGATTTGTAAATCATCTTTCAATATTCCAGAATGGAAAACAGCTTTTACAATCTGAACTTTGCAAAGTGAATACTGAGGCTGGCAGAGGACATTTTTCTATGAAATGTGAGTTTTACGTAAACATCTTTTTACATGAACCAAATACAGCATAGGAAATGGGGAAATAAGGCTACAGCCTCAATGCTAGACATAGCTTTATGTGCATGGAGTGCTGCTCTATACAGACCGCAGTGTAAGATCAAGGAGCATTAGCTTTTCAGGGGTTTGGAGTTGTACGCACAAACATTCTTTACTTAACCTTTATTGTCTACATTTGCTAGCACAGTCTCTGAGTTGATATATATACTTTTGGTCTGATTTCAATCCCACATATCAAAAGAATTTCATCATAGAATTCAGTGGATTAAGGTTTTGATTCCGCCTCTTTTTTTGGTATTCATGTTGTGCACTTCAAATACACTTATCATTAAAAAGGGTATAGGGCACCCTTATTTTGGTGGGATCCACAGTGCAAGTTGTAAATTCCTTGGGGAAGAGAAAGCAAAAAGCAATGTTCAGAGCAGCACCAAGACAGTAATATAAATACAGGATGCCGTTCACTGTCCTTGAACATGCGGGAGAACATGCCATGATAGTAGCTGTGAGGGAAAAAAAAAAAAACATTGCAAAGGGAGAAATACCATGGAAAACAGAACGAGAAGAGACCTCGAGAGATGCAAGGAATTTGCAAGGAATTAGCGAGGAGCCCCAGGTTGTGTGTTCCAGTTATGTTACAGAAAATATCTGTATGTACAGAGTTCCCATTGACCCATGACCATGAAAACACTTTTATAGGAGGTAATACCTGTGAGAAAGTATTCCATTTTGCACCGCATATTGGTAAAAGCTGTCAGGAGCAAAGACTGCGTAGGTCACATTGAAGAACTCCCCACTCACAGCCTTTTCTGGAGGCCTTTGGATCCATGCCATTTCCAGGCCTAGGAACAACACAATTATGAACCAAACATATTTGACATCATTTTCCGCTTTACAGATGCATACAGCTGGAGAACTTCCTCTGCAGTAGGGAATTAAGTGACAGGAAAATGTGATTATCAATTATTGTTCCTATTGCTTTTTCTGAGTCAAAAACAACCACTCATTTTGGTGGCAATATAGATAAACAAAAATGTCCATTACTAGAACAGTTCTGACGTTTACTTAGAGAAAATCAAGCAATTGGAGAATTACAATCAAGAACCAAGTCATCTTATTTGTAGTAACTTTACTCCTGCTGTAAATCAGTGCTGCTTGTGCAGATATACCTGCTTTCTTTCCAGATCAGGCAATAAACATTGCTCTTCATTTTTGGCTGCTTTCTCTGAGAGTGGAGCATACCTCATTACGGAAGAAGAAGAGACAACAGCAGCACACATGGAATCCAGTCCAAACCCATAATCTCATGAGAAGGCCTTATTAAGAAAGGACTCTCATTTTTCAAAATTGTATCACAGCTAGAACAGAGGACAGTGTGAGGACTGCTGCTCAAACATCTGTAATTTTCCATTTCCACTCTCTTACTGGGACAAATAATTTGTTCAAATCATCTCATTTTGTCCCTAGGCCACCATATTACATTCCCCAACCCTGTGAAGAAAGTATGTTTTTTAGAGGTGGGAAGAAGTTTTCAATCCATGTTCTCAAAAGACATCATCAAAATCCTTTCACTCAGTTCATATACCTCTTTCCATACTGCTGGATGCAGGTTTTATCCCTGTCATGTCAAACCATTTACATCATGCAGATAGATGTCGGGCTCTCAGTTTGTGAGGAAATTTTAAATCCCTTCTTCTGTAGAGGATAGGTAAATCTGCCCTTAAAGATATTTAGCTTTTTTTTG